TTTAAATTTTTGTTGTTGTTTAGTCATTAAGTCATGTCCAACTCTTCATGACCCCATGGACCAGAGCACGCCAGGCTCTCCTATCTTCCACTGCCTCCCGGAGTTGGGTCAAATTTATATTGGTAGCTTCGATGACACTGTCCAACTATCTCATCCTCTGTCGTCCCCTTCTCCTCTTGCCTTCACGCTTTCTCAACATCAGGGTCTTTTCCAGGGAGTCTTCTCTTCTCATGAGATGGCCAAAGTATTGGAGCCTCAGCTTCAGGATCTGTCCTTCCAGTGAGCACTCAGGGTTGATTTCCTTCAGAATGAATAGGTTTGTTCTCCTTGCAGTCCAGGGGACTCTCAAGAATCTCCTCCAGCACCACAGTTCAAAAGCATCAATTCTTCAGTGGTCAGCCTTCTTTATGGTCCAGCTCTCACTTCCATACATTGCTACTGGAAAAACCATAGCTTTGACTATGCGGACCTTTGTCAGCAAGGTGAGGTCTCTGCTTTTTAAGATGCTGTCTAGGTTTGTCATCACTTTCCTCCCAAGAAGCAGGTGTCTTTTAATTTTGTGGCTGCTGTCACCATCTGCAGTGATCATGGAGTCCAAGAAAGTGAAAGCTGTCACTGCATATCTTTGTGTTTTTTTATGTTAAGCTTCAGACCATTTTTGGTGCTCTCCTCTTTCACCCTCATTAAGAGGTTCTTTAATTTCTCCTCACTTTTCACCACCAGAGTGGCATCATCTGCATATCGGAGGTTGTTGACATTTGTTCCAGCAATATTAATTCCCGCTTGGGATTCATCCAGTCCAGCCTTTTGCATGATGTATTCTGCATATAAATTAAATAAGCAAGGAGACAATATACAGCCTTGTCGTACTCCTTTCCCAATTTTGAACCAATCAGTTGTTCCATATCCAGTTCTAACTGTTGCTTCCTGTCCCACATACAGATTTCTCAGGAGATAGATAAGGTGGTCAGGCACTCCCATTTCTTTAAGAACTTGCCATAGTTTGCTGCTGTTCACACAGTCAAAGGCTTTTGTGTAGTCAATGAAGCAGAAGTAGATGTTTTTCTGGAACTCTCTGGCTTTCTCCATAATCCAGCACATGTTAGCAATTTGATCTGTAGTTTTGCTGTTTACATAGTAATTGTCTTTTGGCTTATAATTTGTGTTTAGTCGTTTAATCGTGTCCGACTCTTCATGACCCCATGGACCAGAGCATGCCAGGCCCTCCTGTCTTCCACAGCCTCTCGAAGTTGGGTCAAATTCATGTTGGTCATTTCAATGACACTGCCCAACCATCTCATCTTCTTATTACATCACCCCAAGTTTTCAAGAACTGCTGTTAATTGATTAATTGACTGCTTGATTATGGGTTTTTATCCCTTGCACACTTTGGATTTGTTTCTCTTATGTACTGTAGGAATATGATATTTTAAACTACATTTGCCTGAATGTCCCAAGCATGATAGATGGTCAACGATATCGTTTTGACAGATGTACTAAATAAAAATGTGATAAATGTTTTCAGCCTTGTAATGGGTTGAATTAGCCATCCTTTTAATCTGTTCCAGCTCCAGGGTTGTTAGATCATTTGAATAGTTAAGATAATGTTGGGAACATTGATTTTTCTCTCCCTTCACATGTACATTCTGTGTCTTAAAATGTACTGTACTTTTCATTTCACCACAGTCACAGATGGAAGAAATTGAGTCTTCCTCTATCTACATCTAACTATATTGTTTGAGTGGGTAGTCTTGTCTGTTTTAGGTCCAAGTGAACAGTTTCTCTGACAATCAAATATATGCAAAGGTATGTTTGTTTTAATGAATTAGTTTCTTTAAGCCTTTATGCCCTGATATTTTATTTTACAAATGTATCCAGTGTGCTACCACCTCATAAAATAATACTCCCCCACCCAAAAAAAGTTAAAACCAATCTGGGAACAAGCAAAATCACACCAACAGCAGTGAGATTAAAGTCTCTTCGCCACCAGATTTTTTCTAAAACAACCATATTTTAGCTCATTTTTAAAGGAAAGGAGGGGAGATGTCCAGTGGATTATGGAAGTATTTACACTCTCCTGTTTTCCCTCATGAAAAGCCTTGAAAATATTGCTCTCACCACAGATATTTCTGAATGCTTGAAACTGTAAAAAGTTCAGGCGTACTTGCAAAGTATCCTGAACTATCTCCCCATTGTTCCATTCTCATCACCTTAAAATGTATCTTGTGATGGACAGGAGAAGTAGAGATGCATGGCAATCATTCTTCAGTCCCTAACACAGAAGTATCAACAATGGGAAACTGATACTTCAGATGTCCTTTTTACCTAGTGGAAATTGCAGCTAGAGCTTTAATGTGCCATTGAAGATTCTGGGATTAATGAGATACAGTACTCACCTCTTTGGCCTCCATTCCATTTCTCAAGGTAGTTATGTTCAGTCTTGAAGGCGTAGGGAACTAGTACCAGCTTGCAAAATCAGATGAAGATGGTCTAATTGGGTTGTGTTCCTATGACATATATTGTTCTTTAGAAATGGAAGTTTCAGTTTCAAAGAACCATGGCTGGAAGATAATTGGTGCAGGTGGTCACCTAAGGGTGTGGGTTTTATACTCCAGGAATGCAGCTGCCACTCAGTAATAGTTATACTTTGTACCAGTAGTATTTGGAAATTGATTTTCAAAGCCAGCCCATATATTACAAATGACTGTGGCAATGACTGAATTTGCATTCTCTAAGAGCATCTGCAACAAGTTTATAAATCTATACAGTACTGATGATTATTCTTGACCATGGGTGCATCCTGAAATACTTCCATCAGGGTACCTGACTCTGAAGAGGAATGTACTTGTCATGAGAAGTGCACCCTACACCTACAGTACTTTAGAAAAGCTTTTTTGTCCTTGATATATTAACATTGTCTGACTTAATTCAGCTATGCATTCTTCATTGGCTCATTCCCAACTCACACTGTTAACCCAGAATGATAAGAGTTATTGCTCTTGAAAGCCACTGAGAGAGAAAGAACAGAATTCTCATCAGTCTGTCTATATCATGATCTATGTACTCAACCAGAGTCTATCTTTTGCTCTGAAACAAGGCAGAAATATGGTGGCATACCAGAAGCAAATGAAGGTTGGGAGATTCACATAGACTCCAAAGACCTTATGTAAGTTCAGAGACAGGATTTGGGTTTTTTGGACTAGAAATTCCTTAGTTTCTTTCAAGGAGTCCTACCTGCAGAATCCAGACCTTACAGACACTTAAATTTTGCTCCCCTGAAGAAAAGGTGTAGCAGGCAGCCTTCATATCTTGGATAGGTCTAACTTCCTGTTTCTAAAGGAAGCTTCCCAACAACCTTCACAGCAGCTTCCAATTCAAACAGGACGTTAGGACTATCCAAGGCGTAAATTCTGCTGGCTAGGCCTTCTTGCCATAACTAGATTACAGTATATATGGCCTATGTGGAGGAGCTGCAACAACACTGACATTTCTCTCTGTGTGTATTATGTTTTCTACTTCTTCAAGAGATAGAAGACATGATACATGCACACAAACTCATCAGGTTAGTAGAAATGTAGGGGAAACAGTGGGGTTTGCATCAGATTTAGTAGTGGTTAGAACAGACCTGTTATGATCAGTCGTGGCAAATTTAAAGCCTCCACCAAGTTCTGCTGGTTCTGCTCTAAGGAAAACTGAACCTGGATGCAGCCCAAATGCTTACTTTGCTTTAGAATTCCTTCCCAGTAATGTGTGGTGTTGACTAGGTTAAATTCTGGGAACATTGTCATATTTTAAAGTTTTTGGAAGTAGAATCTGCTTTTTTCCATTGGCAAAAGGAGAAGTCCTGGCTTGGAATCAACTGCTGCTTCCTGATTAATCATCCCCCCCCCCCCC